GAACATCAAAAAGTTTTTCTATAATAATAATAATAATAAAAAAAGAAGACTCGATGTGAATGGGGAAGGCGCTCGGGATTAGAGAACATCACCGGGCCCGGGATATTAACTATGAATCCTCCACAGCTTTGTGAGATAACCGTGGTCAAGAGTCCGGTACTTAAATCTCCCTCTTTAAAGACTCTTGGCTCGGCGCTGACAAAGGTTTTTGTTTTGCAGCCGTTGTGAATTAGCATCTTAATAAAGGCTGTTAATGGAATTCCGGGGGCAAAGCATAGATATGGAAAGAAAAGACAAAAAAAAAAAAGGTTTAAGTGGTGGCGTTGGCTTAGCGGAGGTTTCTTCACGGAGTGGCGTGACCCCCGGCGCCGTCAGAAGAAAGATCGAGGGGGTTTGGGCACACGAGACCCTCATGTATCCCCTGACGTGGGACGAAGGCTGTGTTTATTTTTTGTGACGGCCTCTTACGGGGGCAGCTGTTTGGAAAGGCCGCGCCGGAGGGTTCTCTAAGGCGCGGCGCGGGGAGGGGGTGCCACCTTACCCTTTATCCCTGCCAACGGGGGTAATCTTTTCCGGTGCTAAACTTTTCAAATACTAATTAAAATCAATTATACAGTTTAGGTTTAAGACGCTACGAGCCCCGCTTAGCTCAAGTCCTTCCAATCCCAGCGTTGCCTCTTTATCCCGGGGGAAGTGCAAGGAGAATGAGATACAATGTAACACACAGAGGTGACAGTGTTAATGTTAAAAATGTGTTTCAATGTTGACATTGGAAAATGTTCTGGAAGTTCCCTCCCGGGAATAACGGGACGTGATTGGTGCATTTAGGACTTTTGTCTTAAAGGGACCCTGTCACCTACACGTAGCAATAAGTGCTCTCCTTGGAAAGTGAATACTTAGGTCAGATAGACTGAAGGGGAGGCCGGAGGTCAGATAGAAGACTAAGGGGAGGATGGAGGTCAGATAGAAGACTGAAGGGGAGGCCGGAGGTCAGATAGAAGACTGAAGGGAAAGATGGAGGTCAGATAGAAGACTGAAGGGAAGCACGGAGGTCAGATAGAAGACTGAAGGGGAGGACGGAGGTCAGATAGAAGACTGAAGAGAAGGACGGAGGTCAGATAGAAGACTGAAGGGAGGACGGAGGTCAGGTTAAAAAAAACCCAAATTGCATTATATCTTTTTCTTGCATGATACACAGTATATTGCCATTAGTATTGGGACACCTTTACACGCACATGAACTTTAATGGCATCCCAGTCTTAGTCTGTAGGGTTCAGTATTGGGTAATTGGAACACCTGAATCAAATGATTGGGAGGGGGAGGGGCCCAATACCTTTGGCAATATAGTGTATGTATACTGTGTGTGTGTTTATTGAGCTCCGGTGTCTGTAGGGAGGAATTATGGGATGGCTCCCTATGATATTGTTTCATCTGACTGGATACAATGTAACTGTATAGAGATCCCTCCCCGTCACCTGCGTCCCCGGCCAATGTTCCTCCATCAGCACCGCCGGCCGAGGGTAAGATGAACTCCTTCCAGTCCTGAGGAAACGCTTCTCTCCGGCTCGGCGCTGAACCTTCTGATGGAAACGTCCGCCGGTCACAAGTAAGACGCGCCGCTGGTGGTGACAGCAGGCGGATAATCCGAGTCGAGGAGCCCGGAGCAGAAAACACCTCCGGGGCCAATTACATGTAGAAGAAGCTTCATTACAATATTAATTGGAAACCGCTAACCACGCGGCAACATGCACGATTGCCGCGTGGTCACAGATCGCCTAAGGTGTGCAACGGCCCTCACTCTGCTCTGCTCTTCCATCAGCGTGCCCCTTGCTACCACTGCAGAAAAGCTGGTTTGATTCTTGTGCTACTCCTCTCTGAGCTCTGATGAACAGGGACTGCAGGATGATTGTGTCCGTCCAAATTGTTTTCTTACTTTGTAGAGATTTACTCTCACTTTCTGTTTTGTCTCCAGGACAGGAAGAGAAGGGAAATCTCCCCATAGGGACGCACACTGCAAAACAAATAAACTGACAGGAAGTGAAGGGAAATCTCCCCATAGGGACGCACACTGCAAAACAAATAAACTGACAGGAAGTGAAGGGAAATCTCCCCATAGGGACGCATACTGCAAAGAAATAAACTGAGAGGAAGTGAAGGGAAATCTCCCCATAGGGACGCATACTGCAAAGAAATAAACTGACAGGAAGTGAAGGGAAATCTCCCCATAGGGACACAGAGTGCAAAAAAATAAAATGACAGGAAGTGAAGGTAAATCTCCCCATAGGGACATGCACTGCAAAGAAATAAACTGACAGGAAGTGAAGGGACATCTCCCCATAGGGACACAGGGTGCAAAACAAATAAACTGACAGGAAGTGAAATCTCCCCATAGGTGTGCATACTGCAAAACAAATAAACTGACAGGAAGTGGAGGGAAATCTCCCCATAGGGACATGCACTGCAAAGAAATAAACTGACAGGAAGTGAAGGGAAATCTCCCCATAGGGACACAGACACTGACGGGGGTTTAAAGCAGAACTCCAGCCACAAAGAATATGGACCTGGGAACGATTTCTGTCACACGGAGGAAATGAAACGTCGCCCGCTCCGGGATCACATCAATCACACAACGCGATTTATTTGGCGGCGATCAGAACGTTCTCTCCTATCAGCAGGAAACTTACGCAGGAAGCAGGGAAATGTTTGGAGGAAGTCCTCAGGAAAGGTTTATTAGGGACAGGAAGACGTTTTGCTGGGGTCCCTGAGAGAACAATAGAGCTCCGTAACCCCCATGGTGACATCTCATCCCCCGCCGCACGCTCCACATAGGTACAAGAACAGTGAGCGCGGCGCAGGGTGACCAGAGACTGGGGGGGCCGAGGACCTGACTGGGAGGACCAGAGACTGGTGGGACTGAGGACCTGACTGGGAGGACCAGAGACTGGGGGGACTGAGGACCTGACTGGGAGGACCAGAGACTGGGGGGGGCCGAGGACCTGACTGGGAGGACCAGAGACCGGGGGGGGGGCCGAGGACCTGACTGGGAGGACCAGAGACCGGGGGGGGGGCCGAGGACCTGACTGGGAGGACCAGAGACCGGGGGGGGGGCCGAGGACCTGACTGGGAGGACCAGAGACCGGGGGGGGGGCCGAGGACCTGACTGGGAGGACCAGAGACCGGGGGGGGGGCCGAGGACCTGACTGGGAGGACCAGAGACCGGGGGGGGGGCCGAGGACCTGACTGGGAGGACCAGAGACCGGGGGGGGGGCCGAGGACCTGACTGGGAGGACCAGAGACCGGGGGGGGGGCCGAGGACCTGACTGGGAGGACCAGAGACCGGGGGGGGGGCCGAGGACCTGACTGGGAGGACCAGAGACCGGGGGGGGGGCCGAGGACCTGACTGGGAGGACCAGAGACCGGGGGGGGGGCCGAGGACCTGACTGGGAGGACCAGAGACCGGGGGGGGGGCCGAGGACCTGACTGGGAGGACCAGAGACCGGGGGGGGGGCCGAGGACCTGACTGGGAGGACCAGAGACCGGGGGGGGGGCCGAGGACCTGACTGGGAGGACCAGAGACCGGGGGGGGGGCCGAGGACCTGACTGGGAGGACCAGAGACCGGGGGGGGGGCCGAGGACCTGACTGGGAGGACCAGAGACCGGGGGGGGGGCCGAGGACCTGACTGGGAGGACCAGAGACCGGGGGGGGGGCCGAGGACCTGACTGGGAGGACCAGAGACCGGGGGGGGGGCCGAGGACCTGACTGGGAGGACCAGAGACCGGGGGGGGGGCCGAGGACCTGACTGGGAGGACCAGAGACCGGGGGGGGGGCCGAGGACCTGACTGGGAGGACCAGAGACCGGGGGGGGGGCCGAGGACCTGACTGGGAGGACCAGAGACCGGGGGGGGGGCCGAGGACCTGACTGGGAGGACCAGAGACCGGGGGGGGGGCCGAGGACCTGACTGGGAGGACCAGAGACCGGGGGGGGGGCCGAGGACCTGACTGGGAGGACCAGAGACCGGGGGGGGGGCCGAGGACCTGACTGGGAGGACCAGAGACCGGGGGGGGGGCCGAGGACCTGACTGGGAGGACCAGAGACCGGGGGGGGGGCCGAGGACCTGACTGGGAGGACCAGAGACCGGGGGGGGGGCCGAGGACCTGACTGGGAGGACAGAGTACCTGACTGGGGGGGACAGAATGCCTAGGCTCACCTGATATCAGTGCACTTCCTGTGCCCAGGCCTTATATCAGTGATTTTATTTACTGTGCCTTGACACTCCTGACAACAGTGCTGCTCCCGTACCTGGGCACGCCTGCTCTGCGGCCTCGAAGCTGTATATGTACAGTGTGAGATATCAGGCACTGCTGCCTCTTTCTGAGTCTCTGGAGATGTGGTGACTATTGTGCTGCTCACTGTTCTCCTTGCTGGACGCTGAGGACAGGAAGCAAAGCCCTGCCTCTACCAAGATGGCCGCCTGCACACACACCGACACAGTGCAGAAGCAGCCATGGTGAGTCAGTAATGGGGAAAGATCAGCTGCAGGGACACCACTGGCAATACTGGTGACCAGTCCTTTGCCCTCTACCTGCTCAGCCACAGGTTACAAGTCATTGTAGGAACTGAAGAGTGTCTGACTCTATTGGCAACTGAATGTTCTACTGGAGGAAGCAAGCAACAGTCCACTGCTTGGGTGGAGTTCCCCTTTAAGAGACGATCTCTGATTGGAGGATACAATAACGGGTACCCTTAAAGTGGTAAGAAGCCCCAAAGTGACTACACACCGGGTACAATCACAAGTACAGTGCCCCGAGAAGGAGGGTACAGGTCTCACACCCGCACGAACGCCCGAGTACCCGCAACGCGTAAAACTGAGAACAGAGCGGTCACTGCGCATGCGCGACGAAAAAGGCGTGACCAGGATCAGGAAGAGTGGGTGTGTTCCGTTGTCCGTAGAAGCGCGCTGAGGAGAATTGTCCCTGCCGGAGAGCCGTAGCGGCTGCAGGAAGAGGGGCCGCACCCGGAGAGAGAGGGCTGGAGGCCGTGAGGAGTCCCCTTAGTAAGTACTCACACCCCATTTATGTATCCTGGCAACACCAATGTATGTATTTACCCCCTTATATCCCCCCGTGAATGTATTCACCCCCCTTTATTTATTTTGACACCCCCCTGTCTATA